CATTCGTGTATGGCTTATGACTGGTATACACGTTTTTATTAGATTTTCTATTTGAAAAATTACTTAAACAAGTAGAAAATTAAGTCCTGCGGACGCCCTTTCAGATCCTTATAAAATTCATTGAATAAACAAGGCAAGCGGTGGAGTCAGGAAGGATTTTACAGGGTAAACATCTTCGCTGGAATCTCACAAAACCCAGAACACCAGCTCTATCGCGGAGCTCACCCCATATACAATTGGATGTGATGTAGTTGTGCTGAAACCCTTAAAATCTCTAGCAGAAATTTGCATGCATTCTGTGACATAAAACCGCAAAGCACCGAGAAGTTGGCTTATCGGCGACACAATTACAGACAGGATAGACAAAGTACATAAGTAACATTAAAATATTCGTAGACTTCTTCAAAAATTAAGTTATAAACTGGCCTACGTGCCATTTCTATTTTATTATTTTTCGGTCGACCGACAACAAGAATTCTTTACACAGTGAGGTTAGATCAAGTCTTTAAACGGCGTTTAAAGCTATAAACGCCCAAAATCGTGGTAAAAAATGGTAAAAATATAACACTTAGGTGTCTTTCGGTAAGATTTTTTATCCCCCTTGCCACCGGAAGCAAAACCAAAAAAAAAGAATGAAACGAAAATCGTAGGCAAACTGCAAAACGGAAAAGTCCCAGGTGAAGATAGATGGCATCAGTAATGAAATGGCAAAATACGGAAAGGAGAATGCTGATAAAGAATTAACAAATCTTTTTAATAAAATAATTCAAGAAGAGACGATCCCAGAAGAATGGCGTACCAACATAACAATCCCAATATTAAAAAAAATGGGCGACAAAAAACAACCGAAGAACCATTGGGAATAACCTTACTGAGCGCTGTTCTTAAAATCTTCACAAAATATTGACTACTACACTTTCGAGATCTATTCAGTATCGTCACGATGATAATTCTGGCAACACTGACAACAACACTATTTATGTTAGCGACGTTAGCGTGTCGATAAGCCTTGTTCTATGCCACTTCTATGCATAGATAAAGACGAGTTCTATGCACAAAATATCCCCTCTTAGAATGGAAACAAAATAGGGCGGGATTTACATGCTATTTCGTAACTCGCTATTGTAGATGTCGCTCCACAGAATTTTTGTTTTGCAGAAATTTCCAGCAGTTTGCGGTTAGTTTGCTATTTGGTAGATATGTGGCGCACCCATAATGCGGGGGTATGTTCTGTGTCTATGGTCGAGCGTCAAGCTGTGATCACAGATTATCAAAATATTGGTGTGATATTGTTTCCTGCTATTTTAAAAATAAGTGTATGAAAACTATAATGGTGATCTCTTGTGTTGCTTATGGATGTAATAATGAGCAGAATTCAAGAAAAATACCGTTTCATACGTAAGTTTAAAGTCAAGTATATCATTATCACATTTTATTACATGTTCATTTTATTGTTGCAGTTTTCCATTTAAACGGACTGAAATACTAAAATTATGGATACAGGCACTTGGTAGGGATAATTGGAAGCCGTCAAAAACGAGCAGAATTTGTGGACAACATTTCCTTTCAAGTGACTACATCATTAAGCCAGGATTGACTGCTAATTTGTTAAAACCTAATGCTGTACCCAGTGTCTTTCCTTTTCAAAAGTATTTATTACCGAAAGTAACTGTATCTCATAGAACAGTATTAAAACAGGTAACTAGAAGATACATACTTGGCTAATAAATAGTGTACCTACCTATTATAATGTTATGACTAGTATATACGTGGTGTAAATCTTTCTCCAGATCATTCCTGCTACAAACGTTCAAACTGAAAATGAATTAATGGATATTGATTTACCCTCTACTTCTACATCTACCGCAACTGTGGAGAAGTCAATTGATAAGGAATGCCAAACAGTTCTGGACGATAAAGTTGCAATTTTACAAAGAAAAGTTAAAACGTTAAAGCAGGAGATTAAGCGTAAGGATGTAAAAATTCGAAACATGAAAGACGTTATCAATGCAATAGGGACAAATGGCCACAGCTAATGAAAGCTAGTCTGGATGCTGTTCTAAATAAATATTTTGAAGGTATGAGTAAAAGTAAAATTCAATGAATATGTGTTGAAATATAACTTGATTTCTAGGTCTACCACTAAAATAAAATCATGACTGTCCGACTTGCAGCACATACTTTAAGTAGTGGTATGGGAGATGCGATAGAATATTTAGAGAAATGTGCAGTTATTGAAATCAAAGGCAGTTACACAACTGTGGACTTTATAAGAACAATGGACCGGACTTTCGATATGTTAAACTGTAGAATCCATTTGGAAAGGACTTTAAAGCACCAATGCGACCCAACACCTATACTTTTTCAAAAACGAAAGAATATCTGGAAAGTTTAACGATAGAAAGTATTCCACTATTAAACAGTTTACCTAAAACATTTGTTCTTGGTTTCATACTAACTATGGAGACACTCTCCATAGTTAGGACTAGCAAAAGGCCTATTCAGTTTAATTGAAGATCCGCTAAATTATTTTTCAAGCTAGAAATGTCAAGACCACCTTGAGAATTTTGTTCTTGTATAAGATGAAGAGGAACAACAATCCAAACACACAACAGCTTAAATGGGCATCACGACAATTGATGTACAGAAATTCGGTAACTTCTATTGTTTCTCTAAATTGCTCTGATTTTGAAACTTATTGCACTCCTGCATTTGAGTTTCGTTCAGAAGAGAGGCAAAGTTAAAACATTTCTCAACAAGTAGAACAAAATGAAATTTTCACCTTTATTTAATATTTGGGGGAAAGAAATTTGACATGTCATTAAGAAAGTATTTAATTTTACATATCTGGGTATGTAGTGCGTCGCCATTTTCATCAAAGCACATGTCACGACTGTATAGAAATGTTATTCAAAAGAGATAATGGTATTTGGCATGACCATGTACAGCGTATGTCCCGAGATCTTAAAAAAAATAATTTTGTATCTCGTGGAGGTCTTGTTTATCCACCTGACACAATATAAAATTCTACATTTCGCAGAAAGACAATTCTGCTATATGTTAGGAAAGGACGAAATTCTTAAGAGTCAATAGTTACAATAAATGTAAAGAAGCGAATTGTTTATATGGCTATTCAATACTTATTTGCTTTAAACATTAATGCACCCTGTATCTCCAGAATTTATGGGTGAGGGGTGCCACGGGATTCAGCTCATTCGAAAAATTCTGGATAGTTTTATAAAATGTCGAATGCACACATAAATGTTCTTCATTTCTTAATATAAAGTTGCATGGAAATGTTGCAACAGTAAGACAAAAAATGAGAAAACTCATATTTAAAAATTGTTAAAACTTATAATAAAAACCGAAAAGTTTAGAAGTTTTTTGTTAAATTGTATATTTTTTACTATACAGGGTGTCCCGCCGGGAACCGTCGCAATCGATATCTGGCAAAAAAATTAAGATAAATTTGAACAGTGTGGCGAAGTCATTGGGGGCAAGCGTTATAAAATATTTTCAAGATGGCCAAACTTCAGGTTATAGCGGAAGTATGTATCAACTAGTTTCTTTTAAATGGAACACCTTATATATTATTATATTTTTCAATTCTACTCCAAATTCTAACTATATTTCATGTTTAATAACCTATATCCAAGTATAACTGTTTATAATATATTTGAAATTTTGTATAAAAAATTATTAATTTTTCGTATGAGGGAATATGTGTTACTTAATTTGAATCGCATTTTTGATAAAATGTTATCTTATTCAGTATTAAAAATAAGGACAAGTTTGTGTAAAGTTGTCTATTCCAAAATTGTTTAGTTTTCGAAATATTGTGAATTTAATTATATTTACATGGCCCTCATCTTATTTTAAATCCTGCCACTCTGGCTGAACTGACAGCTCTCCAACCAATAGAAACACTCGTATCATCGTACCATCGTATAAACGGATGCATGGGGCACGGGCTTTAGTTGCTATGACGAAAGTGGCCATTTTTAATACAATCAAATTCCAAAAGAATACTGACAGCTGTCAGTTCACTTTTGAAAATAATAAATAATCATGCCCGTACGCTTAAATTATACAAAGATTATTTAAACTTATTAGTGTGATAAAGTTATATCAAGAATTGTTTATGTATTATTAATTATTATTATCTCAAGAACAAAAACCAGTTTTTTTTTTAAATATAGAGGTCCCTAACTTTGCTGGTTGCCCTTATAAATTGAACATGCAATGTATTCAAAATTCTTGAAATTTTCTATAATTTATTTAACAGCACAACATGAAGACTTCTGTTTTTGTGGATAACGAATGGCAAATGGTTGCGGTCTGGATGTTTGTTACTATAAACTCTGTATGAGTGATTCGCCCATTCCCTTCACATAATTCATATACTAGAAGCAGCGCAGGATCTAAGGGGGTGGGGGCTATAGCCCCGGGTCTCGGTAAGATTTAGTATAAAATCAAATAAAAAATTCGAAGTTCAATTGCACTAGCGACGCCTATTTAAGTATTTGTCGACGTTTCCTTCCGACCTTTATTGGGGTCTTCTTTAAGACTGAAATTATGTGTGAACGTGTCTCAGTTGATGATTCATTTTAGTAATGAAATTTGACGATTCGTTAAATTCTGCACTGTACGCTGAGATTAAGCATAGTTACGTATTTTTTAAAAAATAACTAGTGCCTTGCCCCTCTTAGTTGCCATGACAAAACGATAATAACTTTAATTATTATCATTCTTAGTTAATTTGGTGGCAAGTAAGAGTAAAATCTAAAATCCGCAGCAAAAAGCCATATGAACACATTAAATTAACAATATTTCGACAACTAAACACTTTTGAAATATACACTCTTACGCAAACTTAAGCTTATTTTTAATACTACATAAGATAAAAGTATCAGCATTTGGTGAAAAACTGATTTTGGGAGTTTTTCCAATTTCATTTTCACACTTATTGTTTAGCACTTTGTGTCAATAGTTGTTAGTCAAAATGTTACCAAAATTCTATTAAAGTAAATCTTTTTCATCAAGTGCAGCTCAAATTAAATAACACAAATTTTCTTATGGAAAATTTTAATGGATATTCTCTAGTGCCTGTTGTTTTTTGTCATAAAATTTCCCATAAATATGTCAAAAACCGTTTGACTTAAGGGTAAGATGAAAGTTGAAATGCATGAACGTTTGCTTAGTGGCACAAACTCAAAAATTAGGAAATCTTATTTGCTGTCACCCTGTAGGTGATTCACTGCAAAATGGGATATACTTTATAGGCCTGACTATTTTTAAGCAATGCGAGGTTGTCGCCTATATAAAAAAAACATACAACTTTGACATTTTAATGAAACAACTTGTATATTACTGGACGCTTAGATAGGCTGTAAAGATCTGATTATTTTTTGCTTAACGATACCTATATCTATCTAGCGTTTTTCGCAATATTAATATTTTGTAACCAAAACTTAGTCCCAAGAAATCTTGTATTACATAGCGATTTCGATACCTGAAAATTAAAAATTTTGGCGCTGGACCAGGAAAGCCCAGTGCTTCAGCTTCTCGTACAGCTATTTGTTTTAAATTATATAGGATGCCTTGAAAATTCTGACCTTTCGGCTAGAGATAAAAACTGCTCCAATTACATTTTTTTTTTAAATGAACACTCTTTCTTATCTTCGGGAACACCAATAAAGTTCCTATGAAACGATATATCATGTTTCTATACCTAAAGCGTATAATATCCGAAATAAATGTAAATTATTGCACAAATTCGATTATTTCGACAAATTTAACAAAATAGCCATGAAATGTCACAATAGTTGCAGATTTTGATTCTTCAAATCAGTTGTCAGCTTGACAGTTAGAAGTGTTACAGAGGCACCATTTGTGCGCTTTTTGTACAGTTTAGATTTAATTATTTAATAAAATGAAGGGATGCATACAATACTGGACTCGAGATGAAATTGTTGCAAGCAAATTCAAAAATTTTAATTTTTTAAATGCATCTTAATTTGAAGAGACTGAATGCAAAAGAAATAAAGTGTGCAAATACAAAAAATATTTTTAATTAAATTTAAATTAATTTAAAACAATTTAAAAGTCAGATCTTGACGGAACTAGAGTTATTTAAAAATCTGCCATTAATTAGTTTTTTAAAATATCTTGACAGGTGTCAAATAAAAAAAAAAATACATTTCGAACAGAGCATTCAAACTTGCAATTTTTTGCCTATTTAACCCTCTTCGTATTTGTTGTGGTTTCAAAGATGCCTGTACTAGACGTCGAAAAAACCTGAACCTGTATACTGAACGACTTTAAGCTATTATTTACTAGCAAAGTTAAAATTTCGACTTCAAGAGTTTTGAGAAATACTGATAATATTTTCAAAAATATGACTTCAATTTTGAATCACTGCTGCTGCCACTTACCCCAATCATTCAATGCCATGGTAGTCCTCCGGTACTCCTCGTCAACAACGAGGTGTAGAAGGGGAATGTCTATATACCTTCTGGTACTTCGGCCTGTATCGAAAATTATCCAAGCGATCTGTAGTTCTTTATTTAGTTTTATCACAGTAATCTGAAGTTTTTTTAAAATTCTTTCAGGTCATACTTTTGTCAAAAAGAAAATTCATTCTTTCAACCTTAATAATCTAAAATCAAGTATGTTTATTTCAACATTAATTTACAACATATTACATTACACCTACAATTATATCTTAATATTAAAATATTGGATTCAACAAGTTCATATAGAGTTTAACAGATCGTTGAACGGCATATCTTTCTCGTCTTTAACCCTCATAAAACTATCAACAAATGATTTTCTTTGGTGGCAGTTTGTTAAATGTTTATAAAAATCAGCACCAGCAATACAAAATATCTTCTTGTCTTCATAATCGTATCGACCAACTCGATTTTGGACATATGGAAAATAAGCTTTTAGCCATTTATTCGGGCTGGCACTAATAAAGAAACACGTTAAACACCACGTTGCCATGTTAGAGAACGATTTCGTAAAGTTTGACAGACTGAACACCACCCAGTCTTGTAATAGTGGCAACTGATTTAATTGTATAGCGCTATCAAAAACCTGAAACAAAAACAAATGTTATTGCAAAAATGACAAAAAGTCAAGTCAAGACTTTAGACTAGATAATTTGTACCGAATAAAAATGTTTGCATTAAGGAACAAAGCAAATGTAAACGTGGGAGAGCTTTAGAATAAAAGTTTTTACATGTTTTAAGCCGTTTATAGTAACTTATATCATTTTTGGCTTGCGTATATCTGTCACTAACTCAAAAACTGCTAGTTTATATTCCGTAGTCGATAGATGAAGTCCAGATGGGGCGAGAAAACTCTCTTCTGAGTTAGAAGTCACTATCACAAGCTAGAGCTGTAGCGAGGAGCTAGAACCCCTCTGGATCTTGGTAGTAAAAGGTAACTTTGCAACGTTGTAGATTATTCCTTTATAACTTCCGGAAATTAATTTTCCAATCACTTTTCGAGGCTCGAAAGTTTCCGTGTCTGCAAATGCAAAAACGGATAAACAAAAGCAACCCAACATTTTGATTTTCGGTCCGTAGCGCATTCTACCTCGGATTGTAAAAGTATGTAAATCCGGCACCATCGCAAGTCAAGGCCCAACTGCTCTGACGTCGAGACAAGCCCGAGCCGGTAAGGTACCACGCAACTAGAGTAGGCTCCCTCTCACAGCGAAATGGTCCTCGTGACGTCAGAGCAGTCGGGCCCCGGTAAAACGCAAAGATATGCGACTTGTTCAATTACCGATGGTGGCGCTGCGAAACGTCAAACTACTCATTGTCTAGTGACAGTTGAGACTTGTTTATTTATGACATCTACATGGTGAATCAAAATTGGCCTCATTCCTTTTAAGAGGTAATAGGGGCTCACTTATAGAGTACGAGAAAAATATTGAAACATTTTTTTTCGATAATTTCTAGAACATATAACAGTTGAAAATCGAATTTCAACTCTGTTATTAAGCATCATTTTAAAATTGTTCCATGTTTAATTGGTAGCATATTGGAATACTTATGGCCCCATGCACACGTTTAAGAACTAATCTGGCTTAAGAACCCAGTTGGTATGCAAAGTTGAAATTCAGCCGTGGATTAGTTAAACCTTGTAGGGATATGACAACCGTGAAAAATCGATCGAGTTCTTTTCGATAATTGCCAAAATTTAAGATTATCAGAACAGAACATTTTGTTTCTGACTAAAGTTGAATAATGTATGTTGCGAGTTGATATTGTTATACTCGTACGTAGTTAAAAACCGTGGTATCATGGAAAAACCAAAGCAGCCTCATTACCGAAATATTTCAATTTTATTTTGAAGCCAACAAGTCCGGCAGAACTTCCTTGCATATTAAATTACAAGCGTGGAAGAATGGAAGAAAATGAAAGCGATTTTAATTCAAATTCACAGAGTTCCTGGTGTAGAGTCTGGTATATAATCGCGTAATAAGAAGTTTTGATATTAAAAAAGTTCTCTTCTACAATTTGTTGATAAAAAGTCAAAGCGGCATTGATGTTTTTTGTCATTAACAGATAGTTACAGGTAACCTTTGTCGAAAATAACAATAATTTGTCAAACTGGGACTGGAAGAATTTGCGGATATGCGATTAGTTCTTGGGTCCCAGACACAGAGGAACAAGTATTAGACATAATTTCGGCATAGCATTCCAGGGGCGCTCAGAGCATTGCACAACAACTGACACTTTCCCAGGCACCAAATAAATACGAGGAAGGGCTACAATTCCTACCACGTATGTAAGATACACCCCGTATAAGCCCACATTAAACCAATGGATTACTGAACACCGGTACAAACTGAGCAGGAGTTGATTAACCGAATACGAAAAGCTGGTTGATAAGTTTGGATAATAAGTAGATTACACAGGTACTAACTTGTTTGGAGTTAAAGACTCAAATGTATGTTTATCTGTGAACTTGAATTCGAGGTTATGAGGACAATAATTGACATTAGAATTAGTACGTTCCACATTCAATAAATCCTGTTGAATTAACTGTTTATCCTTGTATATTTTATTGTCACTTTCTATATAATTCCATGGTTACCGGAGTTTTAACTACTATGAACTACTAATAACTACGAAGCGACAGGTATTGACGTAATGTTAATTAATAATAATGGAAGATTACTATTTTTTCTGTACTCTTAAAACACCGCCAGACAACACCTCCGGAGGAATGACGCCAATTTTGAATCACCCTGTATAACATAATACAATACTTTCGATCTGTTTCTATTTCTTTAAAATCTTGCAAAAGTTGATTAAAATCAAACAAATCACAAACACCAATGTCAACAAAACAAGTGTCAAATTACTAGTTAACGTGTAGTAATAATTTTAGCCACCAGGGGGCTCTTCGACTTTTAAACTCGCGAATACTTGCTCCAGTTTATAATAGATTAGATTCAGGAACTGGGGCACAGGCTCAGTTCAGATCATGTTGATCAGAAATTACATCTGCAGCCTCTAATATTTTAACTCTCAAGGTGAATAGATAAATAAAGCATCATAAATTTGAATTACGAAAAGGGATGCAGACAAAATGTGGTACATGCTGCTGGCACCCATTGTTCTAACGGCGGCGGACAAGCGGCCCGTAAACGAACGTATCCCGTCTCTGCTAACAAATCAAATTATGTGTCGGTGCAGGCGCCAGACTCTGCACCATGAGACTGTTCGCCTTGGTGAATGAACTTCAACGATGCTAAACTTCCTGCTGAATGAACACCTTCTATCAAAAACCTCTGCAACGGCAATGGACTTGGAACGGAAATGGACTACCAATGAATGGTATAGTCAAAAACGAGATCGACTATGTCCTAGTTACGACGGACAGTCCTAAATCGATTCAACACGGGAAGCGACCACAGACTAAAGCGCTGTGTCGATACTAGATCGGGAAGAAAAAGCTGATTGTGAAGAGACTGAGATCAGAGAGAGGATTGAGTTGGGGGCGAAGCAGGAGTAGTTTCGCAGACAGATTGAACAGAGATTAGAACAAACGGACACGCTGAAAGATCTAGAGTTAAATGAGCTGACAGGGGAAATCGTCGAAAGAATCCGACTTGCAACAAAGAAATGCTACACGTCTGGAAGGCAGCTAAACTCGAAGCTCACTCCCGACACGACCAGACTTATGGAAGGACGCAGGGTTACGGATTGCAATGCACTGGAGTACCACCAGCTGGACAAACTAGTAAACAGATCCATCGCAGATACTTAAGAGCGCACAACTCACGGATGATTAAAAAATACATCAAGGACAAAATGAACCTCCGTTCCAGAGCGGCTAGAGGGAAACCACTCATCTATAAGTTGAGGAACGAGCGGGGTGTAGTTGTGTCAGGGGAAGGCTAAATCGCTGCTATCATCGAGAACTTGCATCAGATACTATACAGCGAGTTAGTACCAGGATCTGACCATCTCCACGAACACAGAGGTTGAGTGGTCCAGAATGTCGGTTCCGAGGAGATCCCCGAAATTAAAAATACGGAGCTGAGAGCAGCATTAGAACAGATGAGAAATCGTAAATCTGTCGGAGATGACCAAGTGACTAGTGAGATGCTTAAAACTGGAGGAGAAACTCTGGACAAGGCACTTCTCACTGTCGTTGACAAGTGCATTTGTAAAAAGGCATTCAAACCTGACATGGCATGAAAGGCATTAATATCGAGGTTTCTGACACCTAGGTTTCGCTGACGATATTGTCCTGGCGAGCGGTGATGCCAACGAGCTTAGACTCATGCTGAGAGAGCTGAAGAAAGCTTCGGAGTCGGTGAGCCTGAGGATGAACCTCCAGAAGACTAAGATCATGAGTCAAGGTAAAACCCAGGTCACAATCGATAACCACACGCTTGAGGTTGTTGAAAAGTATGTGTACCTTAACCACAACATCAAGCTTGGCAGGGACAACCGGAGAGAAGAAATTGCTAGGCGAATTAGCCTGACGTGGGCGATTTTTGAAAAACTTGACCACATCCGCAAAAAACCAAACACACCCATCAACCTAAAGGGTAGTATTTACAGTATTATACAGGAAAGTATTCGACTCCTGCATCTTCCCTGTCATGACCTACGGCCTCGACACTATAACTCTGACACAAAACAGATCGAACCGACTCAGAGTCTGTCAACGGGCGATCCTGGGGATCAGCTTGAAAGACTGCGACAGGAACGAGATCACCAGAGAAAGAACTAGAGTCGTTGATGTCATAGAACGATTGCCACCAATAAATGGGGCTGGGCAGGGCGCGTCGCCAGGGACGACATTTAATGGACGGACGAAGATCATGATGCAATGACGGCCCAGAGAAACTAGCCGAAGTGTGAGGCGACCACCAGCAAGATGGAGGGATGATATCCAGAAAAAGGCCGACAAGAACTGGATTCTGAGTGCTTAGGACAGATAACGGTGGAAAAACATGGAAAAGACTTATGTTCAGGAGTGGATGAGAAGATGCCGAAACGAATTGAATGAGTTCAATTGCATTACTGAATTAAAAAAGCGATATCCTCGAAGGGCTAAGTCCTGTTCTGTACTCGAATTTTATCATCCGAAATAAAGGCTATCAATTTCTGTTCGAAATACTTCATGCCAGGATTGATATGATGCTAGTCGTTTTTAGTATGAATTTGACCCAAATACGTCAAATGGGCGAAATCTTAAAATATTTATTTCATCTGGTAGTTACATGCCAAATTATCATACGATATTGTTATTTATTTTTACGGGACGCTTTCAAGAGAAAATCGCATTCTGTTTTGTCATACTTTTTGGCTCAAATAAATGCCATGGTACGCTGAGACATAGTTTATAGTATATGATATATTTTTTATAAAGTTTCTGCATGGTATTTTTTAAAAGCTAGCAGGTTGGTTTCCTTCGTTTGAAGCACATACACACAACAATTTTACAAGGCGGCTATACCGGGTGTTTCACTATGGGTGGCTATAGCCAATTTCTCAGAACGTAATGGGCTTGGACATTTAGGGATAATACTTTCATTACTAAAGTGACTGTGAGAGCATCTTGCAAATTATTTTTCATACGCTAAACGCTTTAACACTTTGATTAAGAATATGTGACAAAGATTTCTAAAGTTAAATTTAAAATTTTTCAGTTAAATCAGACTGTTAATTTAATCAATTAACAGAATATTACCAAACTAACTTAAAAAAATAAATGCGATTTGAAATAATATTACTTATATTCTGGATCAAGGATAAAAAACCAAACTTAACACAATTTTTAAAATATATCATGATATGATAATATACGAGCTTAAACCATATTCAAAGAGAACGGCTCGTTTTTAGAAACACCCTGTATAATTAAAAATGTGTTTGTAATGGTTTTCGATTAACGGTTATTTCAGAAGCAGATAGTGTGTGTCACAAAATACATACCTTGAAAACAACCCCGCTCATTAATTTAGGATGGGGTTGCTGTGGTGACAAAAATTCCCCTATCACTTTGGTCAGGATATCCGAAGGAGAGAAGAAATCCCTCAAAATCAGTGGTAATATTGAACTCAGCACTTCTACTTCGCTGACGTGACTTTTCTTAATACATTCGAAAATAGCTGATATTTTTTCAATAGTTTGTACTAAATGATCTGGACTTGTTTGCTCACATTCGACGTCAGTTCGGTCCAAATGCTCCCAACAATCTGAAAATCAAAGTATAGATAAATTTTATACAAACATTTCGGTTGAATAGATCAATTTTCTTACCTACATACATGTAGGTTACTAGTAACTGTATACCCAAAACTGATATTGAAGTATCTTCATCCTTGAGTTTTTCTAAAGCAAGTTTCTGTAAATCTTTTCCTACAGTTTCCAACATGTACATTGGTTTAATAATTAACATCATTTCCAATTCCTAAAACATTAAACAAAGGGTAGATAACAGACTATTGTACAGATATCGATAACAAATTTGTAAGCTTCCATAATTATTTTCAATTAAATGTCACAATATGTGTTCACCAAGAATGCAGTTCCAGAATGGAAGCCGCAGCAGATAATTAGCAGATTTGACAGCTGTCAAAAGATGTTTGAAGAAAACTCATTTATGACAGACTTTTAAATAACTGTCGATATCAATCTGACAGGGAAACATTAAATAGGAAAATTGTATGAAATTGCATTACAAATCAATTTCAATTTTTAAAAATTAAGTCATTTTTATGACTTATTTAACATAAAGTTTTTTTTTATGGCAACTATATTTAATTATACCTTTCTTAAATAGAGCATTTTGCTACGATTTTAGTGATATATCATATCGTTATGTTTTTTCCGAAGTTGAAGTGTCTGCGAATGATTTTTACTTTTTGAATATAGTTGATCAAACATGTCTATTGTGGTTCATTCTTTTCCGTGGTTCGGAACGAGTACAGTCGAAGCGACTGGCAAACAGTGTCGGCCACCATAAATAAAGACAAGAGTGTCTGAAACTGCAACAGGTGTCGGGGTGAGTGGGGACGTGAGTGGTACCCCCTGTAGAGCCTTTAGTGGGTTCGGTACTCACTGAAGGAGGCCGGTGTTTTTCTGGAAAAATTCTGGAAGCAATTTTTTTTGCGAACCGGGGCCGTAATTTTGAACAATAACTATAATATATAATAATATATAAACGCAATAAAGAAGTTGTGTGTCAAATGGGCCACTAAATAATCGGTAAGGTACTTTTCCATGACAAGGAAAAAAATCTGTGACAACTCCAAGTCCTGCGTAAGATAGAACAAAACTGAACGTCCAACCAGTCATCGGCATTCATTCTGCTGTGTTATGAGTTGCCTTGCCCAGGTGAATGGAGAAGAGCGTGGGCCAAAGAGCGCAAGACTTTGTAACCCTCTGCGCGACAGCCAAAGAGTAGATATGCTTTCGCGTCAGTATTTCAAAAAACATTAAGCTCAGCTAGGTCTGCGATATAGTTTGCCCCTGGTGATCTTGAAACGTGCGAAATCGGTCACAAGGCGCATTTGTCCCGGTGCGGAGCTGACCTTGGGGAGTCGTACCCCAGACAGAAGACCATCATGTCAGAACATGATGGTTCGTGGACGGGCTCTTAATTTGCACGTTGACCATATATATCAAGGCTATCATTGGTCAAGCATCTCGAATTTGAGAACTGGATCCAATTCGGGACTCGGCAGTTAATTGCATGATTCAAGAGCTACTAACTCCAGATAGTTAGGGGTTGGACGCAGCCGAAAACCTTGGTAGCCAGCTAGTCCGAAACGATCACACAGCGGCATAGCGATCAGCTTCTTAAGGCGCCTAACCTTTGCTGATCAGCGTTGCAGGACATCAGGGTTCACCCCTTACTTGCCCCAACAGAAACTTTTCCAATCTTTTCATCTGGATAACTTTTGAAGGTAGGTACAGTTGCGCCTAGGGGGGATGTCACAAAATTACGATACCCATCGCCATGGGGCCATGAAAGTTGCAGCTGGAACGGAAATTTGGCTTTCATCACCAATCAAAAAAACGCTTTTTGATTTATTGTTTTGATGGAGCGAACCCTTGAAGGGAAAAAGCGACGATCGAAAGAACTTCTTGTGCACAGAACTTTGACGTGCAGTCAAAAATCGATACTTATTGCCATTTTAGATTTGTTAATAGGAGTGAGTTTATTGGTCGGAACGTGTCACGTGCTAAAACACACGTTGTTTTGCCTGAAGCAATTCTCCTCCTGCCTTTCATAATTGAAGACTCAGCGGAAAAACCCTACGCCTCCAGTTTTTGTCAAAATTGAGCTATCTCAAAATTGGGTCATCTAGTAGAGCAAAACGGTGTAATTCGGAATATGAAATCAGCGAGGCAAACAACCTTGTCTGTCCCCAATGATTACTAAGGACAGATTTACCTTGTTGGGGCAAACTAATTTATGAGCGAGCGGCAAATGGAAATAAGTTTTCGCGTCCATTCCTATCGAGTATTCTCCATATTGCAAAAGAAAATGAGAAAATATGTCCGAAGGAAATGATGAACACAGAACTTCATTTAAGAAAAACCCAACTTTATTCTTTAGAGCCATGGCTCGAAGTTTTTTTCATACATTCGTGGTATGGGAGGAGCATATGACCACCCTTCTCCCCTTGACTTTAAATATCGTATGAAATGGTTTATATTAGGAAAACTTTATGCCGCAATATTTACAGAAATCAGAAATACGGAAGAAAATACTAGGCAAAGTGATATGAATGATGAGATGAAAATATTGATTAACTCAATCAATATTTTCTAATGTAATCAAAAATAAACCGTTGGTTGAACAAGAGCAAGATGATTTTGGAAAAGATATTGTTTGTAATTCGTTTGTGCACCCACAATACTCGGAAGATGAACTTATCGATGACATGAATGAATTTGAGATAAAAGAAGATACATTTTGAATACCTAAAGTACATAGCCTGATATGTGGCGTACAGGGACAAATATTGTTTGGGTATTCCTACAATTAATCACGAGCTGCAATATAGAGTTGTACCTGATTGGTTGCAGACTATTTCGAGAGGGTTTTTGATGGAACGAACTAGCGATTTATTTAAGACCCCTCAGGTTCGTGATGTTGAGTTTTTTCACTTGCATAAACACTCCTTAAATAACGAAAAACACATTTTTCTAAAATTGGCACAGAGAGCTATGAATAAAATTCGTCAGTTCCGTTTGAAGTAATTATTTGCCTCGTCGAACTAGAACTTATATCAGATTCACCCCTATGCTGAAAATATCCTTGGAGATTATCATGCCGGATTTAGAACACACAGATCTGCAATAGTCAAGCTATTCACGCTAAGACAGCTCATGGAGAAAGGATGGGAATATAACAGACCCGTACACAACCTTTTCATAGACTTCCAACAATCTTATGACTGCATGGAAAGGAACCAAGTACGGAATGCGATGGCAGAGCTCTCGATACCAAGAAAATTGATTCGAATGGCCAAAGTGTGCATGGAGGACGGAGCATTAAAAGTACGTGTCAACAACAAACTCTCTGGCAGTTTTGAAATAAACAACGGGCTCAAGCAAGGTGACGCCCGATCACCTGTGCTTTTCAATCTTGTCCTAGAAAAAGCAGTGAGAAAAACCGGAGTAAAAACAAAGTTACTTGCAGCACAAAGACCTAAACTGCTGCTGGCAACGGAGACAATATTGGCGTTATAGGAAGATCCACAATCTCCGTAAAGGAAACGTTCAACAAAGTTGAAAGAGCCACGAGTAGGGTAGGGTTAAAAGTGAACGAAACCGAATTATACCGGCTAGATATATTAGGCCAAAATATCACATTCGGCACCCTCAATTTCGAAAGAGTTGAACGTTTCAAATCACGGAAGATATGAAGAGCAGGATAAACTCGACAAGCCGATGTATGTTCACGGAAATCGAAAAGTCTTACAAGAACATCAAAAGTGAAAATCTACAAAATCATTGTCTGACCCATACTAAATAAAGTATGGGTGTGAGACGTGAACCATGACCAAAGAGAACAAAGAAAAGCTCGGGCGATTTTACCGTAGAGTTGAGAAAAAATTTGAACATGAAAACAAAAAATGAACATTCCCTTCGAAGATAGAATGATGGAGGATCAAAACACCTGTTGTACTCACCCAGGGTCTAAACGCACCCAGGGTTGTAGTGCTGCTTGATATATAGATATGCATTTAATAAATTTCAGGAAAAAATGTCCACATTGCATAATACAAAATTATGTCAAAACATGAGAATTTGATTCTCTTTATTTCCATTTCAAACATACTTAGTTTGATTACATGTGAACCCCGTAAAAACATATTTTCTTAAGTGTCTTAAAATTTTTAGTGATACCTATTACTTACTTTAATGATACATTTATCGACATAATTCACTTGTTTCTTTCGTACTCTTGCCAAGGCAGCTTGCAATGTACTGGTGACAAAATTGGATTCCAAATGTGCTTCATCAACGTTTTCCATAAGATAAAAAGCAAGAGACCAAATAAGCAATGTATGTTCTTGCGATTGCTGCAGTATCGGATGATCGGAATTAATGTTCATTTGAATGTACTCCCAAGCACATGGAAGTAGTATTTGCAATTCTTCGGATACCCGGCCAATGGCAATGTTTGAAAGCACACACCCCTCCAAAATGTAAAGTAATCCATACAGACACGATATTCTCGTAGGCAAAAATGGGCTCTTCAAAAACTGAACCAACATTTTCTTAGTTTGTTCGTAAATGTCAATGTCCTGAAATTATCGAAAATATTTATTGTGAAATGAGCTAAAACCAAATTTTTCAACGAAAAATAAGTACTTACTGGATTTAAAACCCCCACGGCTTTACAGATACCAACTATTAAATACTGATGTATCAACTCATCTTCAACACCGTGAATATTCATTAACTCCAAGAAAACTTTCAACATCCAAGCGAATTGAGCTTTGTCAGTAAATAGATCAGATATAAATACAGTTGATCTTACAGTTTCATGTAGGATTCTAATATCCGTTATTGTAGACTGCAAACATAAAGATAGAACAATAATCACTAACCGTCTATGTACGTACCTCCGGTTTCATCAGCTGTGAATAGTATTCCAGCAAAAATTGTAAGCACGAGTTTAGATCCAATCCAGAATCATCTAGCAATTCCAATCGTTTTCTATACATTTTGTCAGTCTCAAGTCCATTTTCCTCTATCACATTAGCCGAAATCAAAAAGTATCGAATTGATAGCTGCCCGTAGGAATAATGGTCACCCGATTTCTCAAAGTTTTTGATTGAAAATACATTTCTTATATGTCCTTTTGTGTAAGTGTTACAAACTTCCTTATATTTTCTTTCAATGTGATACTGAATCACTCTCAATTTTTTCATGCTAAAAAAAATAGAAATTTGATAATTGCAAGAGATAAGTTAAAAGTGCTAATCATTGAAATTATACAATTTTTTTTTGATCTGGAGATACTTATATCCTGTAGTATTTTGAGCTGTGGAATCCAAATTCCTGGTCAGTTGATTATATCAGGTCAGGATCAAAGTGATTTTAAGGCTAAATTAAGAAAGAACCATTTTGGAGGAGACACCTACAGATCTGTGCACTTTATTGAAAAGAGGCAAAATGGACTGATTAGATTCAGTTCAGCTCTTTTGGTTATTGAGATAGTTGCAGTTTTTGAAACCCATATTTTCGGTTTTCTCGACAACTATGAAAGCTGGAACGTTATACAATACCGGAGGATAGTGCTCGATGAGCCCGAGATTTTATAAAAATAACTTTTTTATAGAAAGCTTCGTTTTCGAGGAAAAAAATAAAATGCTAAATTTAGAAAATTACGCAAGGGTTTCCCCACCATCATTTTTTTAAATTTTTTAAATATATTTTTTAACTTACTTGGCAGGTGGTTAGATATGGAAAAGTTAAAAGAAAAATCGACTTTAGTTTGTTTAAAAAAAATGGTGTGCGTCACGGGACGCTTCGACGACGGGAGAAGTGATAACTTCATAAATTAATAGAAACCATAAAATATTGAACTTGTTTAACGTATGATGGCAATAATAATTTTAATATTATCCTTGGTTTAATAATGTATAAATAGATCAGGAATAGGTAAAATGTAATTTAATTTTCTTATATGCAACATTTGTTTGCATTGCAAAAAAGCAAAAAGACAACGGCACGCGGTCACCCATCCAAGTACTAACCGCGCCCGACGTTGCTTAACTTCGGTGATCGGACGAGATAGATAGATAGATAAAACATTTATTAATATTTACATTATATACAGACATTAACAGAGTAACAACAATAACAACAAATGACAGGAGCAAGCCCATGTCAGCGCATGGCCAGATGGTCGGCCAGTTGCTACTCTGCCTATAGTTTAAATTGGCGGGAAGTAGTCCAGTACCTGGGCAGAGCCCTTACAAGGACATTCGCGGATTCGCAATCGCACGAAAACGTGAGGAGATAATCTTTAAATGGCGACTTTTCCTTCACTGGAAGGGCATTCATTGAGGAAAAAACGTCTTCCTGAAGGGAAGCCAAAAACCCCTTTTGCTTCGACCTTTAAATTGATACTATCAGCCGTGGCGTTTGCCGCAGGCAGTAAACGATTTTATGACCTAGGCCACGCCCTTCGCTCTG